TACAATATTCAGCATTAGAAAATAATAAGGGTCAAATTGTCATAAAAGCAGACAATTATACAGTCAGCTACCTGACTGAGCAGGTAAGTGAATCAGTATCTTTTATGCTAAAAACTCTCTGCAACTAACATACCACTGTTTTCTCCTTTCAAAATTTGAGGTTGATTTACCAAAGTAGAGGCTGTTCACTTTGCAAAGTAATTTTTCAAGTAGCTCAGGACATTATCTGAAGCTTTGCTCACAAGACCCAAGAATGTGCAAGGAGGAAAATATTATTTTAGCTGGCACATGATTGGATGGTTCGTCATGACTATAGCTTCACAGCGATAATTATTTCAACTTATTTACTAAGCTAAGACAGTCTCTTTGGCAAGTTAACATTCATCTCCCCAAGTGAGCAGCCTCTACTCCTTTAGTAAATCAAACTTATTGTTTGTTTTAGTATTCATGAAGCTGTCTATAAATTTTTTCATGTTTAGATTAGCAATTTAGTAAGGTGGAGTATTAGTCACCCCCTCTATCCTGGCCGTGGTCTCAGACTATACACATATACACTGCTACATCTCTGGGGTTAATCAATTGACTACAGCTTATAGTAAGAAATAGAATAAAGTCATGTGCCCAACATCAGTTTTCTAAACTCTTTCAAGTGAGAACACAAGAACAAAAACTACTGTGGGAGCCAAGAGCAACATTTGTTTCAGGATAAGTAAGCATTATAGGACCCTTTTGTTGCCTGCTGTTGGCAGGATGCACGAGTTGGGCAATATAGAAAAGTCTACAAATATATATTTCCCAAAACCTCACTGGGCATATTAAGTAAACTGGAATAATTGGTAAATGCTGTGATACATTTTCTTATATTGCCTCATTGATGAATTGCTGTTTAGGAGAGAAAAAAGGAAATGCAACTACATAAAAACATACATTATTGTACACTATGACAGCCATCTAATGCCTCCCCCACGAACATAATGGTTTCCCTTACATATTTTGGGATGGAGTCTAGAAATGTGCCCTGGGGCCTGTAATTTCTAAGTGATGTATTGTGAAGTATTGGGAAAGATGTATTTTTCATCATTTTTAACCTCCCTGGCGGTATTCCCGAGTGTAGCTCGGGGTAAAGTTTCAGTACCACAAGCGGTAACCCCGAGCTACACTCGGGCTTACCATGTGGCGCTGCTCCGGGATCTGTTCTTCTCTTATGTTGCATTCCCGCGATGTCCCTCCTGCAGTGTCCCCGGCAATGTCCTCCGGCGGATGCCGGCATCTGTCTTCTGGGTTCCATCCCCTGCGACGTCGAGACGTACAGGGGACGGAATGGCGGGAAATTTGAAAATGACAAAAAGTGACATTCACTAAAATCACATAGTAAAACATTACTGTATCAAACCATTTCACATAAATTTTGTCCCGAGTGCTTTGTCCTGTGCCCTGCCTGCATTTTTTACCGTTCTTTCTGCCTGGAAACTGAGAAATGTCCATGGCGTCCAAAAAGCATCCCTTTAGGTCAAAAGCAGTTTTAGACCAGCTAGAGAACAGCGATAGTAAATTAGAACTACTTGCAGAATTGAGTGATAATGATTCGTGGGGAAATTCGTCATCAGACACTGAAAATGATTTTGCAACTTTGCTTAGTGATGTGCGAACTTGGCACTATATTTCAAATTTCAGTGTTTTTGGTTTGATTATATTATTGAATTAAATTTATTATTATTATATTATTATTTTTTATGATTATTTATTAAATTATAATTTATGATTTCGTGTTTCAAATTGTAACATACCCGGGATGTTTACTAGACTCTTGTTCGGACAGATTTCAGTGAGTTATTCCTAAAAATTACAGGCCTACAATAAAAAAAATACATATTTCCATGCAAAAAAGTGTACCACTTTGAGCACAGAAATATGGACATAATCAGACCGCTAGGGAGGTTAAATCATCACTGTTTGTTCACCATCTGCAAGTTCCTTCTATTTATATATAATGCAACACCCTTTAAAGTTCTAAATGCATAAAGTGCCTAATCCTAAAGTGCTTTGTGACTCATAAAAATAAATCATGTCAAGCTTGTATTCACAATCATATCCACAATTCTGAAAGTGATTTAATGCGCAGTGATTGTTTTTTTTATATTGAATAGTTTTTATTGAGGTGTACATTATACATATAAATAAATTAATCCCCCCCAAAACCATTCTCCCCAACCCCTATACCACATAGCTCTCCCACTCTAACATGTCAAACCAAAACAACTATAAGAAAGATCAGTTCCATTTAGTTTTGGATATTCTGTTACATAGTGACAGTATAGATTTTCTTGCCATGTACATCAAAGATATAAAACTTTCTACAGGTTTGACAATGTTGTACATAAATTGTATACACTGCATATCTTTATTACAGTATGTTTTTCAATTGACAGTGGTAGAATCCTTGTGCTAATGGATAGGGTATTGTTAACATCACTTAATATAACAGTCTTTCTAAAATTAAGTGTGAAGGTGCAAGACTTGGAGTTCTCAACCAGATTTCCCAAATTTTGAGGGTCTACCCCTATATTGGTTTTGAGGTTTTTCATTTTGAGTGATAGAATTGCTAGATTGTTACCATATGTTAAAGATAGGAGGGGCAGGAAATATTCATTTTTAACTATAAGTTTCTGTACACTAAAGTGGTCAAGTAATAGTAGTATTAATTTATCTAGTACAGTCTTCCTCATCTACCCAATATATATCCTGTAGGGTCATTCTGTAGGTTAGGTTAAAGTACATTACTGATGGCATCAAGTACATCTCTCTAGTACCTAAAGGGTTTAGGACATTTCCATTGCATATGCAGCAAGGTGTCCAGCTCTACCTCACATCTAGTTCATTGTGGGGTCTCTCTACACCCTCATTTGTGTAGCTTTTGTGGGGTGCAATAGGTTCTGTGCAGAAATTAAAGGTGACTGAGATTTTGAGTTGGGGAAACAAAGACTTTAGAAGGATGTCAACATTCGTCCACTTGCAAAGTTCTGTACAAGCAGAGCATCAATACTGTAGGTATTGAAAAAAAAAACAAAAAAACAAACAAACGGAATCCCATTTTCCTCTTGTAGAGTTTTAAATATTTTAAGCCCACTGATAGACTTATAGCACATATACCCTGCTCATACTATAATTCACAATCTGCCAATTTTTGGACTTCAGGGTGTTTTTTCCACAATGTTGAGTATTGGGTAAAACCTTCATCATGCAGGGTCTCGTTTACCAATGTTCAATTTTTTTTCCTTTATATGTAAAGTAGGTGTGTCAGTCAGAAAATTAAATCAACCTGCTTCATGGTTCAATACAGAGGAGTTATGGTGACACACCAGGATGAGGAGTTTCAGTATCACAGCAGTGAGATCTAGTCTCCCACAACAAGCCATATGCATAATCTAAGATGCAAAGAAATAGTATTTAGCATTTGGGACAGTCAGCCCTCCAGCATCTTTGGGAAACTGCAGTGTTTCATGTTTAATATTTGAATGCTGTTTTGTCCAAATCAGATCTCTGAATAGAGAGTCTGTTTGATTAAATCTTTTCAAAGGTATTCAGACAAGGGTGTTACCAGAGTGCAGTAGTTTATACCAACTGTTACATTTTTGCTTAAATTTAGCTATCAGACCATGTAGATTGAGGTTTTGCTATTTAGACAAGTCTTGTAGAGATTTTAATGCCCACACACTGAGGCCTAATATTCCTACTTGTTTTATCTGGCTAGTTCATCTGAGCAGTGCTTGGAGGATGGGGTCCACTGGGAATAATGTGGAGTTGTTCCAGTTTATAGGAAAACCTGGATGAGGGGAGAATTGATACACTAGATGCATTCAAGTTTTACATTAAGAGAAAATGTCTTCTGATAATAATTAGACATCATCTGCGTATAAGGCATTTTTTCCCCTCTGTATCTCCCCCTTGAAAACGCACAATACTATGAATATGAATGTTAGAGCCTAGGGGGCTCAATAGTCAGGGAAAGTAGATAGGATGACAATGAGCACCCTTGTCTAAGTGTTTTTTTCACCTTTTAGCACATTATGCCATTGCCTCGCAGGGAGTTTTTTTTTTTTAATGCTACGGTTTACCACCAATGTACATGCCTCAACAGCAAGGCAAACTGGAGTGAGAACCATGTTTATCAGATGTAAGCTCAATTTATATATATATATATATATATATATATATATATATATATATATATATATGTGTGTGTGTAATGGGTCCGCTCTAGATGAACCTTTAAGGTTTACCCACCAAGGTGTGTTTTTAGGGCTTCTTGCCCATTTTTTTTGGAACTAGGGAAAAGTGCAGACAATCATATAAATAATTAAAATGGTAAAAGCTTGCAACTGTTATAAGAAATATAAATCAAAATACACTGTATGAGTACATGGCAGTAATCTAAGATAGCGACACACAGTCTTGCAATATGTATACCAAATCACATGGGTCTCCTTGTTGTTATAGATCGGATTTTCAAAGATTAGTTTATTTATAATGACTGTATAACATAAATTTCAACACTTGGTATAGATATTGGGATTTAATGTTTACCTAATTATGCATATGATTTATTTTTTTCCAGATCAAAGAAGAACAAAGCAATGTTTTCAAGCCCATTAAATCGTACCATGGTGACATTTTTCTCTATGAAAGGGATCTCTGATGTGTCAGATCTTCAGATTTTAATATTCATCCAAGTCCTGCTTATTTATCTAATCACCCTTGGTGGCAACATGACCATTCTTCTGCTCATTTGTTTGGATCATCACCTTCACACACCCATGTACTTCTTCTTGGCCAACTTGTCCATTGTGGATGTGTCTTCTTCCACCATCACTTTGCATAAAGTCCTAGTCATCTTCATAACTGGAGATCACATGGTTTCATATCCAGCATGCATAACTCAGATGTACATTTTTGCATCCTTGATTGGACACGAGCTTTTAATTTTGTCTGCAATGAGTTATGATCGATATGTTGCCATCTGTAACCCATTGCGTTACCTCATGATCATGAACAGTAGAGTTTGCTCTTTGCTTGCCATCAGCTGCTGGTTTATGGGCTTCATACAAGTCCTTCCTGCTATTGTAATCTTCTCAGGCTTCTCATGCTACACCTCTAATGAGATCAACCACTTCTTCTGTGATATGATACCTTTGATAAAAATAATCTGTGATGACACTTCTGTCTTGGATATTGTGTTTCTATTCCAAGGAATGTTTGTTATAGTGTTACCCCCCTTCCTTTTTACCTCAATCTCTTATATTTTTATCATATCTACCATAATGAGGATCCCTTCCAACACTGGAAAGCGAAAAGCATTTTTTACATGCTCTTCACACCTAACAGTAGTTATTCTTCTTTATACTACACTTGTCTCCCAGTACTTGACACCAACATCATTGGGAACATTGAATGCAAAGAAGATAATCTCCTTGTTCAATACAGCAGCTGTTCCCTTGTTAAATCCTTTAATTTATAGTTTGAAAAATAAAGATGTTAAGATAGCTGTACGGCGTATGCTGGGGTTCTATAAAATCATTGGATGAATAATATTTAATTACAATCTGTGGTGCCAACCTTATTTTTAATTATGTATAATTTCAAAATTACCTTACAAAATACTTATACTTTAAAAAGTCATTGTAAAAATAAAATTGGAAGATAATATAATTGTTTAAAGGTAAACAAAATAAACCCCCTTCCAACCTCTTACTGGTTCAGACTTTTTTTGTACCTATCTCCTAAGGCAGGGATATGCTCACATGCCATTCGAGTCCCTGGTCTTCACTGTATTTGGGGATGGGTGGCTGGTGATCCTGTGCTGCACGCGTGTCTACACTGACTGGTCCCTTTCACTGCTGAGACTCTTCTTCTGGATCCTGAGAAGACCTTACTGTTGAACAACCAATAGGAAGTGTTCACATCATGCAATCACTGATGTGGACTCTCAAAGAAAGGCACAATCTCCTTTACACAAAATAATTTTTTTCCTTTTTCTTTTTATTGCCAGAAAGTAGGGGGAAGGGGGAGTGTGGGGCAGGTGGGAGCCTGGAGAGCAGGGGCGGACTGAAAACTCATGGGGCCTCCGGGCAATAGGGGATCATGGGGCCCCTGTGTCCTTGCCCACACTCAAAGCCTATAAGGTACCAGGGGCATTTCATGGGGCCCCCTACTGACCCCGGGCCCTTGGGCAATGCCCGAGTGCTCAAATGGTCAGTCCGCCCCTGCTGGAGAGTAGCTTTAATGTTAATAACATCCAATACTATGACACACAACAAAAAGTGCAGGTGCCACTCAAGGCTCCTCCACATCTTTGTGCATGACAAACCGCTAGGAGTACCTATAAGGACAGATCTTGTCCCAGCTCAAAACATTCAGTAGGGAAAGAAAGTCCTAAAAGTCACACATCACAGCTAAACGCTGTGAGGAGGTGTATAACAGCCTTAGCCCGGGCTCCAACCAGACCACACCCCCCAATGTGTTTCACTCCAACCCCGGAGCTTAATCACGGGGAACATCCAAGACTAGATTTTTAGACCAGGATAGTATAAGCTGACGCTTACATATTCACAATTATTTAAAGTGTATCTTAACAAGAAAGGAACAAAAATGTATTATACTGCATATTAGCAGACCTTATATAATGTGGATACAATAGTTTTCTGTCCTAGGGGAACAGTTCTCTCTCACTGTACTCTATCTATCTATCTATCTATCTATCTATCTATCTATCTATCTATCGAGGAGCAGCATTTTATCCTATGACAGGAAGTGTGTTAGAACTGCAGAATACCCTCTCTTCATAAGAAGGTAGATGTGTTCTGTAGTCCTAATACACTTCCTTTCTTAGGCAAAGGAAGTTATCAGGTCACAAAACCTCTGGAAAGATTAACCGGTATTTTTTGCAGGGGGGGGGGGGGGAATGATCAGCTGCAGGTCCCAAGATTCCGTGGGAGATAGGGGGAAATATTTAAGTCCATGTCTATAGAGCCCAGAGCAGACCTAACTAATCAAAGGCCAAAAACCAAATTTAGCAAAAACAGTAGCTCTGTGGGACACTACATTTGTTTTAATTTAAATCACGTTTTCATGTTCCTTTATTTCCCACAGCTGCAATTATCCAATAACTAAAGCTGAACTCTGGGCAAACAAATGTGCATAAAGAAAACCAAGGAAAGATGGAAAAATCTCCAAAAGGCATCACATTACAGATTAGACATTCTAATAATATGTCAACAAAAGTTAGATTTTATTTCCATCATTTACACTTTCAAAATAACAGAAAACAAAAAAATGGCGTCTGCAAAAGTTTGGGCACCCTGCAGAATTTATAGCATACACTGCCCCCTTTTGCAAAGCTGAGACCTGCCAGTGTCATGGATTGTTCTCAATCATCGTCTGGGAAGACCAGGCGATGTCAATGTCAAAGGTTTTAAATGCCCAGACTCATCTGACCTTGCCCCAACAATCAGCACCATGGGTTCTTCAAAGCAGTTGTCTAAAAACTGAAACTGAAAATAGTTGACGCGCTCACAAAGCTGGAAAAGGCTATAAGAAGATAGCAAAGCGTTTGCCAGATGTCAATATCCTCTGTTCATAATGTAAATTAAGAAAGGGCAGTCATCTAGGAACAGTGGAAGTTAAAATGCAAGATCTCGGGAAGATCCAAGAAAAAATATCAGACAGAACAGCTTCGCAGGATTGTGATAAAAACAATTCTAAAAACCCACGTTTGACTGCACGATCCCTCCACAAAGACTTCAGGCAGTCACTGTAGTTGTGGTACACTATTCCACCATTTAAAGGAGATACTTTGTATTAATATGGCTCTTCATGGAAGAGTTCATCAGGAAGAAAACCCTCTGCTATCGATACCTCACCACACAATAATCAATCGTATGAACGATTTGCAAAAAGCACATATAGACACGAGCCTGATGCATTTTGGAAAACAAGTTCAGTGGGACCGATGAGGTTATACAAATTGAACTTTTTGGCCTTAAAAGAAGCAAAACGTAACGGTTTGCGAGAAGAAGGGCCACAGAATCTTAATGAAAAGAAACCTCTGTCCAAAATGTCTAAGCATCGGGGTTGGATCAATCAGGTCATTGGGTGTTGTGTTGCAGCCAGTGGCACAGGGAAACATCTCACGAGTAGAAGGAACAAATGTGAGATTCAATAAAATTTCAGCATATTTTGGAATAGTACCCTACAAACTTGATGCCACCTGATGAAAAAGCTGAAGTTAAGAGAGGATGGCTTCTAACATATGGATAATGATCCTAAACACATCTCGAAAATCCACGGGGGAAGTAACATTCAAGAGGCGTAAACAGAAGGGTTTTGCCATGGGCCATCACATTCTCCTGAACCTCATACATAATTGAAAATTTATGGATAGACCTTAAAAGAGCAGTGAGAGACAGACAGCCCTGAACATCTCATAAGAACTGGAAGACTTTTGTAAAGGAAGATTGATAGCAAAAGATTACCTCAAACAAGAATATTGGAAAGACTCATTGGCAGGCTACAAAAAGCGGTTTACAAGCTGTGAATACTTGCAAAGGGGGCAGTACAAGATATTTCAACTTTTTGCCCCAAAACTTTTGTCAGAACGCCATTTTTTTGTTTTCTGTTATTTTGAAAGTGTAAATGATGGAAATAAAATTGGATAAACTTTTGTTGACATATTATTAAGAATGTCTAATCCTGTTATTTGATGCCTTTTGGAAGATTTTTCCATCTTTCCTTGGGCTTCTGTTCTCTCAGCCCACATACTCGATCGCAGGTGTGGGGAAACCTCAGGGAAAACCACAAGTTCAAAAAGGACCGTTGCTGCTTCCCTGCAGATGCGTTTTTGCATGCACCTTTTTTCTTGCAGTGAAACGCAGGCATTAGCAAACCCATTCAAATAAATGGGCCCGCTGTGTCCGCGGAGACGCGCGGCTGCACATAGTGTGGAACCAAGCCTAAGAGCGCCCATCCATATTAAACCACTTGCCCTCCGGAAGATTTTAACCCCTTCAAGACCAGGCCATTTTGTTGCTGTTTGCCAATGCCTTACTTTAAACTGGCAAATTTCGGCGTCCTTATGCTAACACTGTAATCCAGGGCAGTGGGACTATAGGGGGTACCACCAGTCCTCCTGTATGGGGCCCACGGACCAGCAGGGGGGCCCAGGCAGCTGGTGGTGAATAGGCTGTGGGACAGGGAGGGTGATCGGCAAAGCGTCACATATATGAAAAATCGGATCAGTCTAGAGTATACAGACAGCCCGTCTCATTACATGATGCCCAAAAAATCGCAAGATAGTATAAATATCACCCAAATGACCGCTTTTATGGAAAGCAGACAGTACCAAGGGTATTTAGTAAGAGACAATTTTGTTTTTAATTAAGAAATTAATAAAAACAAATATTCACAATTTTTGGGTTTTTTTTCTCTTTTTTTATTCAATTTGTTTACCACACTGTGAACAAGAGCAATATGTTAACCATAGTAACATTATAGTACTCTAGAGAAGTTCAGGAATATATTTTTTTGCACATTATGATTGCCTTATAGCTCAAACCACATCCCATACGGCCCATGTATAGAAACGACCGGACGGGAGCAGTGCGTGAGCGGGTGGTCGTTTTATAAATGTCCTCCCCCCGCTCCCTGCTTGTGTGCGCTCCCCGGAATGTGTGCGGTGTTTCTGAGTCATTTTCATTTTCTAAGCAAATAAATGATGATTTTTACATGTAGGAGAGAAATGCCAGAATTTTGACCTGGGTGGGAAATAATTAAGTACTAAAATCGTTTGGACCCATTGTCAAAAAAAAAAAATAAAATTTCCATGGAGGAGCACGTTGTCAGCTTAGGATGGGCATGGAGCGGGATGTTCTGTAGTCCACAGAGAGAGACCTCCAGAAGGCAGAAAGTACATGACTGAGGGACATGCAAATATTGAGGCTAATACTTACCACCTAACCAGTAAAACAACCCACCCCCCCCTCAACTTTCTCACCACCTGAAAACCACGCGAACTCTCCTTTTGGTGTAAAAACGGCCATAGCAGCCCATTCACTGTGTATAATTGTTTGTGAACTGTGATTGCCACAGTGGATCACATGGTACACACATGATCAATCAGAGCTAATCACACCCAAACTAAATTTTTCTTTCATTAAAAAGTTTTTAAAAACCATTTCCCAAATACCGGGCACTTTTACCCCCCCCCTGCCCCCCCCAATTTTTCATGCTTCACCGCTCCCCCAACATTTTTGGAATGACATTGCGCGGGGTCAGGGCAACCCTGTACCCAAACAAAAATTTTAAAAAATTTTCTTCACACAACTAACTTTTGTTTGGGGGTTTTTTAATTTCACCGCTGGGGTTTTTTTTTTTTTTGCAAAAATTAAAAAAAAAAGACTAAAACAGGGTTTTTCTTTTTTCGTTTTCACCCGTTTTCACGCGGTCACACTTTGAATGAAAAATTGAAACGGCCCGGGGAAATTTTGTACCCCCATTTTGAAATTTTTTTTCATTTTTTTTGTGGACGGGA